TATCACAGTGTAGAAAGCTGGTCTAACGTACTGGTGAAGGCTGCAGGTTAGAAATTGGGAGATACTCTCATCTTAGGCACATAGAAAGTCACAATCTCTCAGCCCTAGGGAGCAGGAAAACCACTTCTGAAATCTTGCAAAAAAAGGGGGGGGGCAGGGATTTGTTCAGGCAGTCACAGGAATCAACTTAGTGAATTGAATGTACACCAATTTTTTTTTTAAATGTAAAAGTTTCCCTGTCCAATCATGTCCAACTCTACAGTGTGGTGCTCATTTTCATTTTCTGTTGTCATCTGGCCAGCATCACATACACACGGAACCAGAGGTGGGTTTCAGCAGGTTCTGACCAGTTCTGGAGAACCAATAGCGGAAATTTTGAGTAGTTTGGAGAACCGTTAGTAAAAATTCTGACTGGCCCCGCCCCCATCTATTCTCTACCTCCTGAGTCCCACCCAGCTAATCGGGAGGAAATGGGGATTTTGCAGTAACCTTCCCCTGGAGTGGGGTGGGAATGGAGATTGTGCAGCATCTTTCCCCTGGAGTGGGGAGAGAATGGAGATTTTACAGTATCCTTCTCCTGGAGTGGGATGGGAATGGAGATTTTACAGTATCCTTCCCCTGCCATGCCCACCAAGCCTCACCCACCAAGCCATGCCACACCCACGGAAACGGTAGTAAAATTTTTTGAAACTCATCATTGCACGGAATGCTGTTACCTTCCCAAGTGGTGCGTATTTATTTACTCACATTTGCATGCTTTTGAACTGCTACCAGTTGGTGGGCAGGAGCTAGGAGAGGAACAGCATAGCGCTTGGGTCTTGATCCCAGACTATCAGCTTTCCAGTCGACAAGCTCAGCATCTTTAACCACTGAGCCGTTGCACCCCTTCCAAAAATAAATAAATAAATGAAAAATAGTATTACAATATTCAAATTAATGTTTAAAAGCCTGCCACAGATTAATAGGTTGTTCCATTTAAAACCTTATGGCCAATTTCTTATTTCTGTGTAATAAGGCTCCATGGCTTTTAAAAACAAGCGTTTCGTCATCCATTTGGCCAGGAGGTTTCCTGTAATATAAAGTCATTAAATAATTTTTCAACCTTTAACTAAAAGTAAAAACAAAACTAGGGCAAAGAAGACAGCAGAGGAGGGAGGAAAGAGGGTGGGAGAAATACATAAATAATTCTTAGACTCCCAAACCTTGTTATGTTCTGTGGTATTAAAATCTAAGCAGCTATTTAATTAGGGTCAAACTTGTTAAAATGCAATTTACATGAATGGGTGCTTTAATTAATGAAGCATGTCATTTGACAACCCTTTGTTCTTTGTATTAATTGCATTATTTCATCATTATGTGGATTTTAATATTTTTCGCCCAGGCTGATGATACTTGGCAAAGGTGAATCCTTCAGATTAGAGACATTTTTTTGGGAGGAAACAAATAATGAAAATATTGTGACAAAGATTTATTTCAGCTATTGATCACAGTGTCAGTTTATCTGAGCACTGAATGTTGATGTGGCTATCGGCAGTATCTTTATTTTCAGCTTCAACGTAAAATAGTGATCACTGATCATTCTTACTGGCACAAATGCACAGACTGGATATCAAGCAGGCTTACAAGGAAAGTAGTTATCAGGTGTGCATAGATGTGCTGAAAATACCAGCTACAGTTGCTTGCTAAGTGTCAGAAAATCTGTTATTTATACCATAGTCACTAAAAGATGAAATCCAAGATGAAAACCAAACAAATGTGGTAACTTATTAGGATTTAGAGCTTAAATTGGCTTTGTTTGATAAAAAGATGGTATCAACTGTGCCTGAAAACAAATGGTAAAATAGGAGAAGGAAAACTATCTCCTGTGACTCAGTCTATAGTTTGCTAGATGTTAGGTGAAATTCTTAATTTTGCCTCAGTGTTGTTTTAGAATAGAATTTTTATTGGCCAAGTGTGATTGGACACACAAGGAATTTGTCTTGATGCATATGCCCTAGTGTACATAAAATAAAAGATATGTTCATCAAAAATCATAAGGTACAACACTTAATGATACATAGGTTACAAATAAGCAATCAGGAAACAATATCAATATAAATTGTAAGGATACCAGCAACAAGGTTACAGTCATGCAGTCATAAGTGAGAGGAGGTGGGTGATGGGAACAAGGAGAAGATTAATAGTAGTGCAGACTTAGTAAATAGTTTGACAGTGTTGAGGGAATTATTTGTTTAGCAGAGTGATGGCATTCAGGGAAAAACTGTTCTTGTGTCTAGTTGTTCTGGTGTGCAGTGCTCTATAGCGTTGTTTTGAGGGTAGGAGTTTATGTCCAGGATGTGAGGGATCTGTAGATATTTTCACAGCCCTCTTTTTGACACGTGCAGTATACAGGTCCTCAATGGAAGGCAGGTTGGTAGCCATTGTTTTTTCTGCAGTTCTAATCATCCTCTGAAGTCTGTGTCTGTCTTGTTGGGTTGCAGAACTTGAACAAATGTTTTTAGCATCCCTATTCATCCATCTTCTTCCATCCCTCACTTTAAATTTAATTTCTGCTTCTTTGTCTCCTGTGTAAGCACAGCTTCTGAAAACAATCAGAACCAATTCATTCAGGATTAGGGAAATGTTCATTTATGTTCTGATATTTTGCTTTTCCACAGTCTGCTTTTTGGTCCCCTAGGCCAATAAAGTATTTTCATATACACCAATGAAAGAGTGAAATCAGGGATTGGCTGTCTTTTTTTATCAATATCATTTGTTTTTATTCAAAATAGCAGGGTTTTATTTCATAGCATCTTTAACCATGCCTAGTAATTTAATATGGAAATGTATATGTTTGTAACTTAATTCTAAGGCTGGCTTAAGTTCATCCAGCCCCTTCCCTTTTCAATTATAAAAAAAAAAAAAAAAAAAGTTCCACTGCCTATTCAATTTCCAATTCAAACATTAGATCAGAACCGTCATGGTTCAACATGACTATGCAGATTAAAAGTGTATCAACAGAATAAACTTATTCAATTGTGGTAGGATGGTTATGAAATCGGCTATGAATATTTGTCATCTCCATTCGTCATCTTCTTCTCTTTCAGCCCATAAGAGAATTCTTCCAGGGTTTCTAAATCAACATTTACTTACTTCCACTTTAGAAAATGTCTCTTTCAATATAAAGATAGAATCAGATCTATTGTTTAGTTAACACATTGATTTGTTAACAAAGTCAACATTTCTTTATGGCACCTTTAAAGAGAACATCACCGTGACACCAAGGTTAATTTGATGTTTCAGGTGCATGCACATTCATAACAATTAACTGAGCGATGAACTACAAAACAGAGGAACAATATGTATATTAAATTATAGCTGGGATTTAATTTAATGCAACTTGCAGCCCAGTTTTAGAAACAGCCTGCAAAAGATCAACTTTGACAAAAGTGATCTGCCCAACGGTCTATAGGTGGAAGGAAGAAAAGGCTGTCAGAAACAGGAGGGTATCAAAAAGAAAGAAATGAAATGTGGAAGTCCGAGAAAATGCATTCAATTCTTACTACTGCTTAGCCACCATTTCAACTTCAACTGCTCATTGACAAACATAAAAATCCAGAAAACCTCATGGAAATGCAGAAGTCAGCTTTGGAAATAAAAACTTGCCAATTCTGGATTATGTCATTTCTACCAGCATCGTAACGATTAAAGAAAAGGCTCTGGTTGCTATTTCAATAGGAAAAAGAGTCCATTACAATCTCAGCATAATAACTGAATCAGAACATGAATGAATAATCATAACTGATCCTAAACCCTTCCTTCCCATCTCCACCCTTATTTAATTTGGAGATCACTATCAAATTATTTAAAGAGAACTCTACTCAGTTATTTCCATGCACAGTATCAAAACCATGGGTCTTAGATCAGACTGGTGTTACATCAAACTCTTGTTCACATGGCAAATGATAGCATCTTCATCCAATCAGAAAGGTCGGTGGTTTGAATCCCTAGTATAGGTCTCCTGTATGAGCAGGAGGTTGGACTAGATGACCTCCAAGCCAAGATCCCTTCCAACTCTGTTACTGTTACTGTGCAGATTCTCTTTTTATAAACTAGATGGGCTGGACAAAGCAAATGATAATTGAATCTATTCTCATCTGAAATCACCTTCATTTACTAGTTTCCAGACATTGGAATCTTTCAGCAAAATCTTGTTGATAGTATGTTTCTCCAATGAAGGACTGATGGAACAAAGCTTCAGTTGCTACTCTATGGGTTTGGTGGGAAATCTTAGTGGATCAGAAATTCTTCATCCTTACTCTAAATAATTGTACATGTTGAGTCAGCTGAAATCTATGAAAACAATGTGATTTAGATTCCGGGTATGGCACAGTAGTGGGTTTCAAAAAATTTTACTATTAGTTCTGTGGGTGTGCCTTGGTGGGCGTGGCAGGGGAAGGATACTGTAAAATCTCCATTCCCACCCCAATCTAGGGGAAGGATACTGTAAAATCTCCATTCTCACTCCAGGGGAAGGTTACTGCAAAATCCCCATTTCCTCCCGATCAGCTGGGACTTGGGAGGCAGAGAATAGATGTGGGCGGGGCCAGTCAGAATTTTTACTACCGGTTCTCCAAACTACTCAAAATTTCTTCTATCGGTTCTCCAAAAACTGGTCAGAACCTGCTGAAACCCACCTCTGGTATGGCATCTGTATATTGGGAGGTTCATTTGAGTTGGTTCCTGGTGTGACCTTTCTAAGCACTTACATAACACATTTTCTCACAAGTTCAATTTTAGAACAGTTTTTTATGCACTGAGTCATACCATCAGATGTAGTTTGCTAAAGGTCTATTACATTATTGTTGTGATTTGGAGAGATATGAACCTGAGAATCTTCCAGTCAGGACTAAAAATCCTGCCACTATAAAAGAATGTTGCCTATTTATGGTGTCTGTTGCACGAACTGATTCTGCCTTAACAATTGAATCAACCAACCTAATACTTTCTGTCTTTGATAGGTAATCAAACTTAATTTTGAAGAATTTGACTTGGAGAGAGGATATGATACATTAACTGTGGGAGATGGAGGCCAGGTTGGAGACCAGAAAAGTGTGCTTTATGTGTAAGTAGAAGTTTATTTCTATCTTTTTGTTTGGGCTTAATTAGTATGCAAACGTGGGATTCCTTTAAGAGTTTTTCACGGTCATTTCTGTTTGCTGAATATGTTTCTGAGATGGCCTCACATTCTGAAGATACAGAGCATTGTTGAAATTTCCATTCTGGTGGAATCAGCCATTTTTCACTTGGCTTTCAGGGATATTATTTACCAGTTCTTTGTTCAAGGATTAACTATCTAGAACAGTATTTCTCAACCTTGACAACATTAAGATGTATGGACTTCAACTCCCAGAATTCCCTAGTCAGCTATGCTTTGCAGACCTATAGACTGCCTCTGATCGGAGATGGGAAACTCATACAATAAACTTTTTAAAAGCTTCTCCCCTGCCCCTCAAAAAAACCCAGAGAATTCCATCTTTGTCTAGTGACCCATTATGGTCCATGGATTTCCAAAAATGTTTAAATTAAATTAAATCCCCAACCTTCTAATGGTTGTTCATTCCTGTCCATTTGTGCCTAAAAGATCATTTTTTTCCACATATGAATATAGTATGTATTTCTACCGAACAGAAATAAGCTCTGCAAGTCATTTAATGCATTCAGCTCTACAATAGTTGCATTTGTGAGTATGGTTTGGGGCAAATTCCAATAGATTTTTTAAATAAAGAATTTAGGAATAAAGGAAAATTATGTCCTGACTAGATATTGATCAACTGCAAAATGGATTAATGTCTATCTAAATGTAAACCAAATGAAAGCCAAATGATCAAGATCATTTTACATTCTTACATGTACGTGCAGTACAAAGGTCATTCTTTAGAGTCCTCAGCTGCTAATTCTACAAGTTTGAGATCTGTGGTCTTGGGCTGTTGTTCTAGAATGCTCTTGGAGATGTTGAAGCTCCATTGTAGATCTATTGTAGAACTCATGAATTCTAGTGATCGTAGGTTGAGCATCACTTTTTATTTTCCCATATATTGACTTTGTTAGTTAATGAATTTCAGTCATCTAGTATGGTTTTAAATGGCTGCCAGGTGTCTTACTTTGGTGGGAGGAAACGAGAGCTAGGAAACTGCCACTGGTTGTGCCATAGATTCTGTGCAGCTGAAAGAAAATGTGTTTATTTATTTAAAGATGGAAAATCTACATTTCCTTTCTTTCTCCCTATGGCACCAAAGGCATAACAAATGACTGCTATTAACTTTGACAGCACACATACAAGATAACTCAGATTCCATAATGAAACCATTACTGTAAGTAAATATGACTTCCCCACGAGGAAGGCTGATGACAATAAGCTTCTTCTACTAACTTATTCATATGTTATGATTGTGTGATACACGTGATGAAGGCTTTCCATTTGACATATACGTCAACAGAATTGAGGATGGCAGGATTTTCATCATTGCTGTCAAGATATTTGTGGTCTCCTTGAGTCTTTGTTGACATGTCATTCCTACCCACTAATAGAACAGGCGACCGGCTTGGGCAGAATCCTGCTCCTAGCTCAGCCATATTCTTCTGCAGATCTCCCTCTTTATAGTTCTTCAGGGATGAAGAGCTGTTTGTCTTTATTCACATTCCTCCTTCTGCCTGTATCTACCCTCATATTCAGTTCAGTATTTGGTCCCTACCATCAATTCAGAATTTGCTGGCTGTGAACATTGTAACCATCTGTTAGCTCCCATCTCCCTATAGCAGATATCCCATGTGCGTTACTCAGAATTTTACTTTTTTTTTTGGGGGGGGGGAAACATGTCATGCTTCAGTCTGTTTGCTGAATATGTCTTTAGTACATATTGTCAGGTGTGCCCCCGTTCAAAACTCAAGAAAGGAAAACCCCGACTCCATGTTTGTAGAGAAAGGTACTTTTACTGAGAATGAACTGAATGCAACAAAAGGAAAGCAAGATCTGAGGCAATAGGCGTGAAAATTACATATTGGAAGTATTTCCAAATCCCTCCCCCCAAGGACCCTGGCTGAATGTCCAATCCCTAGCCCCCCAAGGCATCATGTGACGTGCAACTTCAGATGGTCCCATCCCTCTGGTATGCCAGAACGGTTGACCTTGGCGGACTATCAGCAACTCCATTCAGCTGTGCCGAAGACGATGAGAAAATTCCCCCCTTTTGCTCCCTTTCAGGAGACATCTCCACCAGCTCACTTCCTCCTCCCAAACACCTATATATCCCCCCCCAGTTACTATGGCAGCCAATAGCAAGCACGTACATAGAGGCCGACACATATCTTTTCAGCATGTTGAATGGGGATACTACCCAATTCTGTGTAGTTTGTAGCCAAAAAAAAAAAAAAGGCAATTATATTTTTGTTTTCAAGTACTTTTCAGATTAACTGTTGCTTATAAGGTGGAGAGAAATGCCTTGGTATCGTATTTTTATTTGTAACTCAGTTTAACTGCTGTGTACCAGTTTTTGACCCAGTTTTAAAAAGTTATACCAAGATGAAGTTGGCTGTCCCAACTGGCAACCCCTATCCTAGTATATTTGTTCTTTATTTACTGGGCATGTTAAGAACAAAAATTAGTAGATTTTCCCAGCTGTTTTTCTTCCCTCCTAGCAAATGTCACCAGCCATCCTACACTAGGTGGTGTGGTAAACAAACAGGAGTCAATTAGCATCTTTCCAATATATCGATTAACCTGACCTTAAATAAGCAGATAACATTAGAGCTCAGGAACTGTAAATTATCTGTAATAATCTGCAGAGAAAGAAGATGTTGCCTGTAACTCATAGCTGGGATTTAAATTCAGCCATAAAGAAGAGATCCATTGCAATCTAATAGTCTAGAGCTAAGAGGAAATAGCCAATCCATGGGTCATAAGTTAAGAATCCATTTGCAGGGGAATGAATAGAAAAAAAACAAAATAGAATAGAATGAATAGAAAAAACAAAAATAAGGAAACAGAAGTCCATAGTGAAAAGTTGTTTTCAAGAAGGGGCAATCTGGAACACACTAAGAGCGTGCTAAGACAAGACCCAGAATCAGAGGTGGGTTTCAGCAGGTTCTAACCAGTTCTGGAGAACTGGTAGTGGAAATTTTGAGTAGTTTGGAGAATTGGTAGTAAAAATTCTGACTGGCCCCGTCCCCATCTATTCTCTGCCTCCCGAGTCCCAGTTAATTGAGAGGAAATGGGGATTTTGCAGTAACCTTCCCCTGGAGTGGGGTGGGAATGGAGATTTTACAGTATCCTTCCCCTGCCATGCCCACTAAGCCACGTCCACAGAACCGGTATTAAAAAGTTTTGAAACCCACCACTGCCCAGAATTACTGGCTTTACCTAATATGAGGAGCTGTGCTGATGGCTGCTGCTCACTCCTCTTTTGCTGCCAGCCTATAATTTTTGCTGTTTGAATTAGCGGCCATTCCTGTTGTGTTTGACTCTCTCAGGTGGCTGACAGACAATTGCCTCCTGAACTACAGGCTGAGAGTGTACTAGGTTATCAATGTTAGCTTCAGAATTAGAGGAGCCCATCGTATCATCCATCAGTCACTTAACATGGTCTAGGAATTGGGGTAGAGGAAGAGGCAAGGATTGACAAATGGCTAGACTGGTGGGTAGGCATTTGTCAAAACTTGATTCTGAACAACTGTCATTCACAGGCACAGTCTAGAAGTTCACTAGATGTATGCTCAAAAAGAGCTATAGGAGGGTTTGTGCAATTGCAGAATTTACTCTGTTTAGGCACTGTTCAGCTCCAATTGGACTCTGGGTGCTATATAATAAAAGCAGCAGCATAAAAACCAGAATACAATAATTATAAAAGAATAAACAATTGAAGGTAGATGCAATCCGTCATATCCACACATAATCCAGCCGTGCCTCAACTACCCTAAACCTGGCTGTTGGGAGAATAGCCAGGTCTTTAAGGCTTTCCAGCATGCAGTGGGAGTCACACAAATACAAGGGCGAATCTTATTCCATAGGGAAGATGCTGTGACAAAGAGGACATGCTTTGGGGATCCAAGGCCTTGCCCCAAGTTATCTACAAGCACAACCAAGACTAGTAAAGTTAAAGGTTCACCTCACACATACATGCTAGTCGTTCCTGACTCTAGGGGCGGTGCTCATCTCCATTTCAAAGCCGAAGAGCCAGCGCATGACTCAATGCCAAAGGTGCATGGAACACTGTTCCCTTCCCACCAAAGTTGGCCCCTATTTTTCTACTTTCATTTTTTTACGTGCTTTCGTAAAAAAGTAACGGGAGCTCACCCCGTTATGCAGCACTAGGGATTCGAACTCTGAACTGCCGACCTTTCAATCGACAAGTTCAGCATCTTAGCTGCTAAGCAACCGCACCCCTGTTACAACCAAGACTATCTCCATGCTAAATCCTGGTCTGAAACTTAACTGAAATGGGTCTAGATAATCAATTTCTTCCACTATATCAAAGTGACCACCTGAGCACCTTCCCCAAAAGGGAAAACTGGAGAAAGGGATGTTAAACCTGTACCGAAAAGCAGCCTGAACAACCGGTGTAGAAAAGGCTGCATGAGGAAGCAGTGGAAGCAAAGTTGTTTTTGGGCTCCTCCCATTTCATAAGAGTCACCTGATGGCAACACTGACCAAATAGTTGGTGAATGACTTCACATTGTACCCGTGGCCAAATTGACATTACTTGTTATCTCCTGAAAGGAGGGGGACACAACTCGTAACACCAGAACAACTAAGGACAACTTTAAGGTTCTTTAGATAAAATTCTGTTCAACTAGTTTTCAAAGGAGGAGGAGGGGGGAGGGAGTGGAGCTAGGGGCATCTAGTGACTATAGACCTGGTGTCGGGTGATTCTAGCAGGGTTAGATCCAGTAATTCTACTCTGGCAGAGGTGGGTCCAGCAAACTGCAGGACTCTGCTGGCATCCATGGACCACCTCTCAGTCTCTGAGGTTCAGCCACCCAGTTCCAAGCAGAGGCATGTTTTAAAGATATAAGAACAGAGGGTTGAGTCCCCAGGTCAGAGAGGCTTCCAAGAAGCAGGCCAGCAGA